ACCCAAACACAATGAATACCAGTCCCCCAAAGGCGTTAATAGCGGCCGACACCCAGAACACGTACCCCCACTGGCGCCGCACCTCATCGGAGGCTTGTACTATAAAACCGATAACCATAGGGGTTATGAAACCGGCCGTAAACGCCACGGTGTTTGTGATGCCGAATACGGTGGCCGTGTACTCGTTGGTCATATCTTGGTCATTTAGGGCGAGTAAATAGTTTTAAATTGCTAGTCAAATGTTGTATTAATTTTATGAAAGCAATAATGATTTTATGACATTACCGGCCACTACGGGAACGTCACCACCGGAATAGCACCCGAACAAAAGCATTCCCTATGTATGCGTAAAATAAATTTATTATCGACCAAGATACACAACAGGGTACATTAGTATAATATACTGTACAAGCACTTACAATTAATAGCAATGCGATTACCAGAGTGTCATTACATTGAGCTAATGGTATGACCGATAAACATATAGCGGACCCAAAAGTGGCTGAAAAATCAAATTTAAAATTTATAGTAATTATTGTGAATAAACATATTGTATATTTCACTAAGTTGGGACCATCGAGGGACAAACATAAATTGGGTGGTTATGATTGTCAAGAATAGTTAGCCAGTTACATAATTTATATTTTGAATTGACTAAATTTGGCGAATTAAGTAAATTAACCTGTTAAATTTATGTTAACACATAGGTGACATCCTCATTTAGTCATTGAAATAACATTATTTTTAACTGTATATATTATATACTATATAATGTTATACTATTTATTTTGTGTTCATATATCTGTAATAATTGCTCAATTATCAAGATGATGTTTAATGGCACAAAGCAGTGATACAATGGCACAAACATAATATATTATATTCATCGTATGTACAGTCCATAAAACTTATGTTATTTCATTGACTAAATGAGGATGTCACCGATGTTAACGTAAATTTAGCAGGTTAATTTACTTAATTCGCCAAGTATAGTCAATTGAAAATATAAATTATATAACTGGCTAACTATTCTTGACAATCATAACCACCCAATTTATGTTTGTCCCTCGATGGTCCCAACTAAGAGTATGTTAAAACTTTTCACTTAATGTTTTTCAACAGTGTGATTTAATTTGTTTTGAACGGTACTGTTATACTGTACGCACATATTGTTTCAAATAGTTTTCTCAAAAGCGTTTTATTAATGATTTCTTTGCGAACCAAAAAGTCGGCCAAAATGCCGGCAATAAGTAGACTACAAATAAAAATGTCAAAATTTTTTATATTTAAAACACATTTTTAAATAATAATTATGATAATAATCAACACATACCTAATGGTGTACACACCGTATACTATAGCTACTATCACTCCGGTCTGTAATGCAATAAATTATTTTATTAATTATATAAACAAGGTCAATGAATAATCATGGACATAGTGGGCGCGTACCTTGGACACTGGGTATTTGAACACCGATGAAAAGTACGATGGTAATTTCAACAACAGTAATAGACTATTCCATTGCACTGTAAACTTGACTATAACCACCGCGATGACCGGTATAGAAGTGAATATTTTAATCCAGGGAACGGGAGGTGTCGTGCTACCCTTCCCACTGGATGCTATGTTAGCCTGGATATAATATAGTTCCTCACTGGCTATCCAGGGGTGGTCTTTGGGCTCACTTCGCACCAGTATTACCCATAATACGAGCCAAAGGGTGGCCAAAATTGCTACATAAATACTATTAGCTATTACTCCGACATTTACA